GCGTTGAAACATCTGGTTGTACTTGTATTATTGATTGCAACTTTTTAGATTGATTTAATTGTTTGTGAGTTACTTGTTTATTTGACGAAGCATTTTCGTAGTACGGATTTAAATTGTGTCCTGTTTTTTGAATTCGATATTGTGCTTGTTGTTGACGAAATTGTAAGAAATCATTTAGCAATCCTTCATCGTTTGCCAATTCATTCATAATGTATTCTCGTTGTACGCCAATACCATCATCATCACCTGATTCGATGTTGGAAGTTTCTTGTAAATTGATCTGCTGATTGCATAAATTATAAGTCAAAGACCGTTTATTTCCTACGTCTTTTTGTACACCACATTGATTGTGATGATAATTAGTTTCCATCATGTGATTATTAACTCACTCTGATGAAAAGATAAGAGCACTTACAAGGGAATGTAAGCAAAATTGCGATGCGTCTAACTCGGATAAAGACGAAAAGAGAACTGAGCAAGTTAGCAATGATTGATGCCTGTGTTTATCTATGAAAAGACGAAAATGAAAAGTATCTTTTGATTATCATATGTAGTCAGAACTAGAGCCGATAGAGATCATAAATTCTTGACTCAATTAATCGCTGAGTGAATGAAGAGAAAAGGGTGCCAATTTTCTCAAGGAAGCAAAAAATTTAAGGTATTTTGCAATATTTTATCAATTGTGTCGTCAGTGAATGCAGAAACTCTACTCAAAGAATATTCCATGTGATCCAAAGAAGAACAGGCTATATTTTAAAAAATAATTTTTGAAAAATTGTTAGTTATTATACTTCGATATTAACTGTTGAAAATTTTCATTAGTTAATAACTGAAGAGGGAAACAGAGTACGTTCATACTTCGGAGACGTTCCACGAAAAAATCAATGATTTTTGGATATTAAACAGCATGGGACTCAACTGATTCCGGATTTAACTCCGTAGAAATTTCAGGCCTTATCTACCATAGATGAATCCAAAAGATTACTGTCTAAAGATTTACCTCTGGTTCGCTAGACCTGTCCGACTATAGACACCCGCAAAAATAGCGTAAAAAAATGTGAAAAACTGATTTATACTTTTTATGAAATTTTTCACTATTCAAATTGAGTCATATACCTATTGATAGAGTTCTACTTTTTCTACAAATCTACACATGTGAAATTTATTCTCCATCCTAATAGAGAATCGAAAAACTCGAAATACAGTGTTTTTCCAGTCTAGAAAGTTTCCTTTTTTTTCCAATATCTTAATTAAACGGCTACGTCACAAAACGATTCCTAAAAATAGAATTAGTTCATATTTAAAGTTGAGTCCTACCATTCCACTAATTCATTACATCAACGTCCATATCGTATCATAGTTTCTTATATCTTGAAATTCTTTATATTTCTCTATCTATACCGAATAAATATTCTGAGTTATCCATAACCACCCTTGCGTTTCTATGCTATAAAATTATTGGTCCGAAAATCTAATCAGCCCTATCTTAGGGCTATTGATACAGTTCAGTTTATGAATTATATTCTGTTGAGTACTGTGGAATATTGTCAGTTTTTAGCTTTATGCGCAAAAAGTTGCTGCTGTTTTAAAGGAAGGATAGTGTAGAATGGTTTATCTGTATGAAATCTTCAAAATTACTCCTAACAATCTTGATAATTGTACGAAAGATATCTGTCACATGTTCTATTGTTATTAGTTGCAACAATTTGAGAAGATTCATTCTTTAACTCGTAATATCTTGACTTTCAATTAATTGCGAAACAATCATCCAAGAAGATTAGGATTACATCATTCGAAATCTTTTCGTTCAATCATATGGCTATCAGTTTACAGCCTGTAATATTTTGCTCTATTTAAATGATAATATAACTCATTTATGTTAGTTAATCAGTTTTCATGCTACTATTCTTCAGAATTGTCATTTTGAGTATATTTATATTCGTGTTCGCTGGTTGTAAAATTTTTCTATGGTGTATATTACACTAGGCTAATTTCTAACGCGTGACTTTTTCTTTAAGCTACAGGAGAGTTTTCCAAAGTCAACATTCAATTTATGCATGAGTGACATGTAATAACCTATTTGTGGAATTGTAAAGCTTATTGATTATGTTAAACGAATGCTCTAGTTCATTTGATAAGGATATATGTCAAACGCTTTGGTAAGAAAATAATCTTTGAAATTCTTTCGACTCTATTTCTGCACGTGTTTGAATGAATTCTAATACAACCATCTTGGAGTTGGAACCAAGATTTTTGGATGGTTATCCGTTTTGATTTATGTTGATTATAGTAATGTTTTATGGAAGTCAAAAAGTAGTAGTAAAAATTGATGTCGACGCTCTGGTATTCGAGATCCTCTCGAATACGAAATCTAGTGTAAAGTACGAAACTCGATTTTTAGAAAAAAACGAGATCTCATAGAAAAAGACTCATCATTACTTGAGACCCATATTGTAAGACGCTCTTGCACTAAAGATGTTCGTGTTTCGCTGGATTCAACCGTTTTTTTTGTAAAACTTATTATAACAAGAGCTCTATGAATGTCTGCCAACATTCTTCTTAAGAATATTATCGATTGATCATTGAATTATTTATATGATTCATTGTCTATAAGGTGTAACTATGGATGAGTGAGCGTATTTGTGAAGCAAATGTTCGTACTGAAAACACAAAAGTAAGTTTTGTTTTTGCCCTTCGGTACGTATTCGAGAGAGTTTTTGGCCAAAAATAATCAGAAACAATATGGATCAATACTAATGCAAAATATATCACATGTGTCATATTCTGCAACAGGAGGTGCTTGTTGGGAGGCATTCTGGAAACATGATTTAAGTTTCTTCTTCGGGAAGTCTGGTAGTTTGTTTTTGAAAACTTGAATTATTATCAATTACTCTTGGAATATAAGACGGCAAGATTCTAAGACCTAACCATATCAAGTCTATTTGATCCTGACTAGATGACTTCGAAATAGTTTAAACTCGGTGATCGATTGATCTCTCAAGATGTTTTTAAATAATGATTAAAATATCTATCATACAACACATTTTTATGGCACAGTTTGTGGCATGTTTTTTACTGTTTTGACTGAGGACAATGCAAGAATTCAAATTGATTTCTGATAGAGAATATAGCATATTGTGTTGTACTTTTCTTCCGAACTGAAAGTGTTTGCAAAAATCATTCTAATTTTTACCACTGAGACACTTACGACCATATTTTCGTCTTATATACATTATATAAAAGAGTGATTTGATCATCACCCTGTTTTGATCAAAGTGCCTCTATCAAATGAAGTAAACAATGCTCTCGTTAAACTAACTGTGAAAGAATATCTATTTTTCTAAATAATTATATATTGGTAAAATTTCTCGAATGAAATTCAATAGGACACAATTAACAGTTGTAATAAAAGATAATCAAATACGTTTTCTACTGAATGCAATGGTCATTATGGGATTCTATTACTAAATTCAAGATATTTGTCACAACCAAATTAACTTGCTATTGATCTATTAGTTGCTGATTTATTTTATTCAGTTTGAGAACAAGTACATATTGAAAGAATTAATTTCGATGGAAATATTCTTTTTAAAATTATTGATACTAATGTAGCTAGACCAGTTGATGTTCGACAGAATTATTTGTTTGATGAGAGACGTATGCCAACTAATTAATGACTTTCGAGGTTGGGACTATTTGCATTATGCAGATTTTATCTAGAAGTAGGTAATTGAAAATTATCATAGATTAACAGATTCATATTTTTCTGTTTGTAATATCATGGTATCAGATTTTAGTAGTCTTTGTTATGATTTTGACCAAAACTTCGAAAAGCATTTTTTTCTGGTGTTTCTGAGCGAAACATTTAAAAACTAACACAAAAATACAGCATCTCGACAGAAATAAGCTAAGAGTGCAAACTCTTTTCTATATGTTCTAAATTCATTTGGATTTACATTATGCACTTAGTCTCGACTATAAAGTAATTTATCAGTTGGCATACGTCTCTTATCAAACAAATAATTCTGTCGAACATCAACTGGTCTAGCTACATTAGTATCAATAATTTTAAAAANAACAAAACATTGGTCAGTTCGTTTCTGTAAATTCATTTCTTTCCACTAGTAAAAAACGTCAACTAGCTGAATTCTATTTGGGCGAGACGACCCAACAGCTCGATTTAGAACGAGTTTTGTTCGAGATCAATGCTAATCCTAAGGTAGTCTCGACAAAACCATTCGCTGATATCAGTACCCTTAGTCATTTTCCTGAAGAATTTGAGGTACTCTTTATGCTTGGTTCCATTTTCCATCTCAATTCTATAATTCGTCGTTATGACCAAGTGTGGATAATACGAATGTCATTGTGTGGCGATGACCAGCACAATTTGAAGGACGTTCTTGAAGACATGAAGGAGCAAAATGGCCTCGGAGAGACGAGTCTGTGGACCTTGGCTAAGTTATTATGGAAGATGGGTAAATTTGATCTGGCTGAACGATACTACATTCATTTGTTAAAGGAATATCCACCGAACGATCCTTTACTTCCCAACTTGTATGAGTGTCTTGTTGAGATCGCTTCGCAAAAAGGTGACTATAACAAGAGTGTGCAGTTACGCAAAGAATTACTTAAGATCAAAGAGCAATCTGCACAATCTGGTATTATCAAGAAAGGTGAGACGATCAGAACTGTTTGTAGGTTTCATGAAAGATGATCAATCACTAGTCAGCAACAAGTCAATATGAATAGCACTATTTTCTGAAGGCTGTGATTTTCAAGAAAAAATTTCAGAAATAAGTAATTTGAAATTTTATTTCTTTAAATGTTGACAGTAGTTTTTCTGATTATTTACATACAATTGAGCTCCTCCAAATCACTTGTAGATAGTATTTTTTATAATCATCTTTATTAATCGAGTTGACGCTCTTGATTACAGCACGGTTCAGGGATTGCTGAATGGGTTTGGTATCTTTCAATTAGAGATAGCTTGAAACATATTTATGCATATGTGATTTGACGTTGTCGTGATGAAGTTTTATGGTATGTGCATTAGATATTGATTTTGTCTTGCAAATTTTCTGGGCTATAAGCCCCCAGTAATTATCAACGTAATAGTGATGACCGAGATCTCTACTTGATCAACTTGATGAATTAACACTTGATCAGTAATTTTGACAAAAATATAAAATAGAGTTTTTTGAGGAAACTCACTGCATCACACCATGGTACTCTTTATCTCTCACTATGTCACAAAATTACTATGTTCCTTGCTGGAGTTTTTCAAAATTTTCTTCACAAAACCGAACCCGTTCGATACAATGAGCATCTGTCAGCAATCTGAGTTATCCCGAGAGTGGCCATTCTTTTTTAGTT